GTGCAGATGTGTGCAGGCATGCATAAATGTAGGCCGTTATTGTTTATGGGCCAAAACCCAAGTAGGACCCATTCCACAAATACCCTTTGGTGTTTGTGATGTGCAAGATCCAGTACTAGAAGAAGGACATTGGGGCCGGATGCTTGTTATCAATTACTCAATAGTTCTCAAAACATTTAATGGAATGGATAAGAAGGATATAAATAGGTTCTTAATTTCTGTTATTCTGTCAGTTTAACATTAATTTGTCTTAATATTGGATTTTACTGACATTACAGCAATATAAATAATTTTTATAGAGTCAAGTCATTTTACACCAGAACAAAAAGGATACAATATCTGGAGACAGTAGTCAAAAGTGAAGTCAGCCCGTCCAATTCTAATGCATAACATAGAACGCACAGCAGGCAAATCTCATATAATCCATAACACATAAAGCATAACCCAACACAACCATGAGGTGCTGCAACTGCAATCTTGGATTTATATTACTTGTATTGGAGGAGCAGGGCATAGATAGGGTTACAAATGGTTGTCAAGAGCTAAGATTGCAGTTGACTCCTGTGGGACTGAACAGAATGCCTGGCTCATTGAGAGACTTATGTATTGCCATGTATTGCATTGTTAACTGTGTTCATAATGTTCATCAGTGTGGTTGGTGCATAGTAGACTTATGCTGGCCCAATGTGGTGGAACAAAATGGTTGCTTTCATGTAATTGATGCAGGAGAATTTGCACAGCAACATGGCAAACACATTCACAGTCATATGCTTTGCACTTTTGACCCAAATACCGCTGATTCCTGTAATCCTTCAACTGACATTTATATGCTGATTAGAATGATGACTGATATGGAAACTATATGGCATGGCAACTCTCAAGGTCAGCAGTTTGTCAAAGCACTAAAGGAATGCTACAACAAAAATAGTCTACTTTCAATACTTGATCATCGCTTTCTCTCTAAGCCTCAATAAACTTGCTTTTATGATGCTGAGAGAGCAAACAGCACACCTATACACTCACTGGACAAAAGTCTACGTAATTTTTGTCGATCACATAGTAAAACATATGAAAAATCTATTTTTTCG